ATAAAAAATACCTTATTGAAAAGAAAAGATTTTGAATGGACGTTTTTAAAAGTGTTTTACTTTTTAAGACATTTAAAAATGTAGTTGACAAGTACGATTTCCTAATGCTAGTTGAGAATTAAAATTTTGTAGGTTTTATATTAAACTAGCTTTCGACCGCGACTCCGTCCGCGTGGTATTAAAAAAAAAACAAAACCAAGTAGCCTATATGTTCTTCCAGACTATCCTCTATGTATATGCAAAATTTTATTGAGATCCGTTCAACAGTTTAGGATACAAACTCTAACAAACACCCATCCATCCATCTAATGTTTAACATTTAAAATATTAGTATGAAGTATGATTCATTTTACATGTATCTATTTTGTAACTATTCTAGAAAAAGAGCATATACATTACTTTACTATTTTTTTTGTTATATATGATTGGATAAAATCTGTTTCAAAATACAACAAGAGCAGTAATGCATTTAAAAAGCTCATTATAGAATTAATTATAAAATCTAACGTATGTTCTATTGTAAATGAATTTTACGCTTATAGAAAATAACAATAACAGCACAGTTTTGCTTAGTATTCTAAATCCATTACGTTTTATTTGTATTACGTTTAGCAAAAACAGACTTCGTTGGACGTGATTGTACAAATGTAAGCCCACTTAATTCAGAATTGTGACTCAGAAATTTATGCCGTGGTGTATCATTCTAATGCTAAAGTCGTGACAACGCATACGTTATAATTTGTTACTTAAATGTAACGTAAATCAAAAAAAATATATTACGACAACCTAAGCTACATATAACCAACATTTTTATCGGTTTAACTTTTTATTGTGTAATATATTTTTTCTATTGAATTTACTGCCATACTATTGGTGTCTTTTAAAGTCTTTCGTTCATTTTTGTTAACAGGTTTTTATAAACTTTTTATTTAAAACAGAAAATGTCAAAGAAAAACAGACTAACCACAGAGTAATAACACTGACAGAGTGATCGTGCCTCCGATAAAGCGATTGTCCTCACGTCTACGGTCTGCGGAACGAATGACAAAATACCTCTACGTGCCTGGCTAACACTCGATTAAATTGACGTAGCGGCGTAGCGGCAAACTTCATCTAAAACTAAGTCTCATATTCATAATGAAATAAACAAAAGAAAAACGTATCATATTGTATAAAAAACAAAAGAAAAACGTATTAAGATTCTACGAAAATCATTCCTAATTTATTTCCTCGATTGCATTTGTTTCAGTTAATTAGAAAATGATTAAAAGCAATAAAAGAGTACAATGGTTTTAAAATTGTTAGATTCTGTCACGAAACCGCCATACGTTCGAAGAAGCGGCATCAAAGTTACTAGAGTTAATTTGACTATTAATGAGAAAAGTTAGCTCATTTACCATAACTGCTACTTATTTACAGCGCTGTTTATATTCAACGACAAAATAATCATTGATTATAAAAGAGAATTTCCTCTTTTTGCTGATGCTTCTCAAAAAAAGGAAATATATATTTATATGTTCAATTTCGTGTACGTCACTTAGATATATCCTAAACGGATGAAATATTTTTTTTGAGTATGATGTTATTAGCACCGTCATTTTAATAGCACCACACTATGATATACATTGATTTTTTTAAGGAATTTATTTATAGTTGTAAATTCTTATAAAAATGATAATGTGATCACGTGTGTTGCTTATTGTAATGCTATAATACGTTATGGAGTAAAAAAAATTTGTCCTAATGTTTAGTCTTGGTTTATTGTTGATTTCGTACATAACCGATGGTTTTAAAAGTATAAGATTTGACACCAAACATATTTGAATAATAAGTAGATAAGGTGATAAATTTTGATCGTACTTCTTATAACTTTTATTATAAAACATGTTAACATAATAATATTACTGCACCTTTCTAAATTGTTTCATGACTATAGAACGTTAATCATTATCTACGTACGACGTTACTTTATAGCGTATTACAAGCTCCCAAAGCTGATTTACGACAAAGGTAACTTAATGAGACTAAAGAAAATGTCTATCAATAACAAATGAGTTTGTTGCGTGACTGTAAATAATCATATTTTGTTTTACAACAAAATGTAACGTATTTTTTTAAGTAACACGTTATATCGCGTTATGTTTCAGCTATAAAAATAAGTGTTTTTTTTTTTGTAAAATTAATTAAAGCTCCTTGAACTATTATAGACTTTACGACTTCAAATTACGATGATTGAAAATCGTGATGTTCTATCATCATCATCACTTGCTCACTATATGTGCCCACCGAGGGGCTCGGAGCCTACTCTAAGTTAGGGTGAATTTCTTCGCCGATATGTGCAGGTTGCATCACAAAGTTTTCCTTCACCGTTCAATAAAAACAATGGCGTGGCCCAAGTTTAAACAAAGCTTTACGTTTATTTCTCTGATAAAGCCTCAATTACTTCATATTAATCTCGGTAACATTTTAGGCCTACGTTCAGCAGTGGAGGACTTAAGGCTGTTAATAGTCATATTTTAATTTATCAGGAAGAAAAAAATATGACCACGCATAAAATTATCACTATTTATTCTAATGACAAATTGTGTTAATTCACGCTTCCATGGTTTGATTCTTCAACGATTAAAACATATATCCGTTTGACTAATTTGCAGTTCTCTCTGAGTTAAATTCATTAGATTGAGTCAATCAGTAAGTTGTTTCAGATTAAACTGATTCGCTCAAATGACTCAGTTCAGTGTTAACTGGGCCCGCATTTGCTTAAGCAAATCGTAAGATCAATTGATCGTAAGATCTGCGTAACGTTTGTTTACGCAATATTATATATGTATTATATTATGGGGCGATAACTTTGTCAACATATTCCAGGTAAACATTGACTATGCAATAGTACGTACGTATAGTACGTAATTTAATCCGAAAATACGTGAAAACTTTTATAATAAAAGAACAGACAAAATGAATTTACATTACAATCTTCTTCTAAACATATAATCTTCTTCCTGGCGTTAACATTTTTTAATTGCTCTCTTTGTTGAGAGATTTGTGCCGCTTACGCGCTACTCTTAAAAATGTAACGTACTAATCAAAACGTAAGTCCTAAAATGACACTGCAATTGGTTGGACATTCTACAGCTACAAAAATCTGTTTTCAACTCCTCTTTTTTTAAAATCAGTTTAAAATATAAAAGTAAAACCTTTATTGCCACTTAAAATAGCAAATACTTTAATTTTTATGACCACAATTTGTAAAAGAGGGCAAGTATACTGACCTATATGCTGTCTGGGGTCGCGGCAACGAGCTAAATTTACAAGAAGACTGAAGTGTTGGCCTATCTCCATCTCTTTACCTTTGCATCGGTACACGGCGTTTTATCAAAAATCCCAAAAAGATGGAAAATTCAGGTAAAGGTTATTTTTTTATATTAGGACACAGTAGGCGACCGCCTGAAATCACTAAAATAGAGAAATGATCGCTGCCTTGTCAAAATATTGTAGATAAGTAGCCAACGTTGAATGGAGATAGGACTGGATGTGCAAAAAGAATTTCTCCTTCCTCTATGTCCTCTCACTCGCCTAATCACCTATAGCATTTACGATTGACTGAATTTGTTTCAAAGTCGTAGAAAGTCCTGAAAAATTTCACGAATTATTTACCATTTTTGTCACAAACGGCAGTTGAAAGCGGTATTGCAAAGTATGTAAAATAAATTCTAATTTCAGAAAATGTCATATATCAGACGGAAAAGACCCACAATTCTCAAATCCAGAGATTTTGGAACGAATGAAAATGAAATCAAACTTGGCAACTAAATCAACATTTCTTCAGCGCTATTGAGAGTAAGATAACATATGGTTAACCATCGCTCTCTGTGAGGTTAAAATAATGATGTTTGTTCAAGAGAAACTTAAAAAAACTGACTTTAATCTCTTAATTTTAGATTTTACTACATTAGATCACAAATCAGAAATAAGTTACAATTATGTCTTAGAAAGAAAAAGAGACAGTCGATGAACATAGTCTTTGAAAAACATTCTCAATTAAGGTGCACCAAAAACCACATTTTTTAGTATATTAAATTATGTTTCTAACGATAAAATTTATGAAATTATATTTAATCGCATAATAGTATGTTTTGGATGTGTAGTTTCAGTATACTTTGTTTGTGATATTCGTCAACGAATTTGTAATGTCGTCCTACGGTAATAAGCGCCTTTTTCGTGACCTACATTTGTATAACTTTAAAAGTGTATGCCAAATGTTCAGCTGAAGTTTCCGCCTACATACATGTGTTGATAGCAAAAACTTTTCAAATTGAATTCTCATAAACGACGTTACTTTTTAAGCAAAATTTTTCTAACATCAAAAATGTTCGATGAAAATCTATTTTTTTTTTCAAATACTAACATTTTAACTAAATATAGTTGTAATTCCTTTTCTTAAATGTAATAAAATTGTTTATTAATTGAAAAGGATTTTATTCTAATTTTAGTAACAATATTTAGTTCCCCACAAAGTTTTGTATTATCATCGCTACGTTAGCGGTAAATTTTACTGAAACTACAAGTACGTTTATTTTATGAAGTAGCATGAAATTTTGCCGAAAAATAAACGGTTATGCATGTTAGATAAGCTCTTATGCGGTGGCTTCACACAAAGCTCGAGTGGCAAAATCCGATTCGTCATAAAAGTATAATAATAGTGGGTCGTGGTCGGGGGTGCCGCAACAACGCGGTGACCTACACAGCGCGCGCCGCCGCGGCAGTCTTCACTCGAGCTTTCTAATGACCTCCAGCGTTCCGTGTTGCGTTCCACAATAAATTTGTTCACATACAACTTGCATAAAGTATCAGAAAAGTTCAGTTAAATACTTTTACTTCAAACACGGGCACGTAACCGAGTTACAGATATGCGCATGTGAATCTCCGCAATCGGCGCCCGGTTGATTTGCGAAAATGAACTTTAAGTTCTACGATATAACTATGTTTTGTAATTAATTATGTACAAGCATGTGCTACGTAATAACATATTCAGGTGAGTAACAGTTTACTTTTGTTCAGTTTTTTTAAACTTCAAGGTTGTTATTCTTTATAGTCGGTTATTAAATTAATAGAATATAAAATCTTTTTTTACATTTTCGTAAAAAGCTAACCTTTGTTTACAATTTTTGAATTTCAATTATATCTTTATGACACAATTAGAACGATACTTTTTACTTTTGACAAATTAAGCATAATTTTTCTATACTTCCATTAATAATGAATTCAAATTATTTGATGCAGTTCGTTGATTTGTTTCAGATTTATATGCAAGTTTATTATGAAGATTTAAAATGCCACGAATTATGTAACTATGATAAATATTTTGTTTCCGGGAAACAGGCAAAATGGGCGTGATATACGGCAAGTTATATCAATATTACTGGTATTATATCTTATTCTCCGAGCTAAAGATACCTTGGCTTGTTCAGATTTAATGACAAACGATAAATGCTCATGCTACACATTCGAAGATGGTAAGTAATAATTATCTTTAAGTAATTTATAAACTGTGTTCTTTACGTCAAATTTTTTCAGCTGTTTTTCTCGACTGCCAAGATTCAAATACAAAGCAAATAAAAAATGCGCTGAAGAAAGTTTCTGCCGTACATTCCTTATCCATAAATGATCTTGATGACACTGAAGAAATTTTGGGACCACATTTTGTGCCGTTAGGTGTATGCATAAAACATATACATATGTCAAGAACTGGCATAAGAGACATAGATGATGAAACATTTATGCCACTAAGACAGTGCCTTGAAACGTTAAGTATTGTGTCAAGTAAAATTAAATTTATACCACAGAAGGCATTTTCTGGATTGCTCAAATTGATTTCAATCGAACTCACTTCAAATCACATTGAGGATATCCCAAGTTATAGTTTCTACGGTCTTCCATTAATGAAAATAAACATAAAGCAGAATATGATTCGACATGTCTCTGATTCTGCGTTTTCTAGTTTAGAATTAACCTTGTCTGAGATTGATTTAAGTGAAAACAATCTTACAACTTTCCCTATTTCATCTATTGCCAAATTAAAGCACCTTCGGTCTTTAAGGTTATCTTGGAACGAAATGTCATCTTTCCCAACCGTCGATGATTTCGATTTACCGTCTCTTGAATTTTTAGATTTAAGTTCTAACAATTTTGAATTCGTTTCAGAAGACTGCCTTAAATTTTGTCCGTCCCTGTTAATATTATCATTTCATTTTAATTTCATAAGTAATATACATTATCGTGCATTTCAATCTTTAGTTCATCTCAAATCTTTAGATTTGAGCCACAACAGAATCAAAGTATTAAATACTAATTTATTTTTAAATAATAAGAAATTGGAATTTATCGATTTGAGTCATAATCATCTGCACCACATACACGGCCTGTTTTGTAACATGCCAATATTAGCTGAAGTATTTTTAGGTAACAACAATATTTTGGAAGTGCCAATTGATTCCTTTTTTAATTCGACTAAAATAAATACGATACATTTAAATAAAAATTGTATACATACGATTCATAGCAAAAGCTTTAGTGATTTAGAAGAATTAGCAACGTTACGTTTAGACTTTAACTACGTAACTCAAGTGCCACACGATACCTTTATTAATAACAGTAATATAACAATGTTAAGATTAGACAATAATAATATTGTAGATTTAAAAAATGACACTCTATGTAACCAAGCATTCTTAAGCGAAATTCATTTTAATAATAATAATTTAAAATTCATATCGAAATATCATTTTAATAATTCAACTAAAGCTGAAGAGATTTATTTGAATAACAATAAAATCACAAGCATTGATTCTGAAACATTTTCAAAAATGTCACACTTGAAACATTTAAGTTTACATGACAATTACTTAGTTGAGATTAATGACATATTACCGAAGCCAAGTTCTTCATTGTTAACATTTCACATCGACTCTAACTTATTATCCTCATTAAAAAGTTTAACATTTCGTTATCAGGAGAAGCTTTATCATCTCAGTTTAACGAATAATCACATCAGATTTTTATCAAAAAGTATATTCGCCAATTTAACCTATTTAACTAGAATTGAACTTTTCAATAACGAGATATCTATAATTGATGATTTTACATTTCAACAACTCCGTTCTACAAGAAATTTAGATTTACACAACAATTTACTACGCAACGTCACAAATTATACATTCGTAGGTCTGTTTGAATTAGAGGATTTAAATTTATCACATAACAAAATAACTTTCATCTATACCATGGCATTCGATACTTTAAAGAAAATACGAACTTTAAATTTATCATTTAATCCACTTAAAGTACTTTATAAAAATCTGTTCCAACAAGGGTTGCCATTGAGTTCATTATATTTAGATAATTGTGAGATACAACAAATAGAAAATGGCACTTTCGAAGGAATGAACAATCTTAAATATCTATCTCTCAAAAATAATTCATTAAAATCCAGCGAATTGATTTTTATTGACATACCCGGATTAAAATTTTTGTCACTCTCATACAATATATTTGACAATTTACCAGTTGAATCGTTTTCTCAACTCCCCCTTTTAGAAGTTTTATTTTTAGAACATTGCAATATTGAACATATTTTTGAGGGCACTTTTTCTTCCAACAAACATCTCGTGCGTTTAAATGTAGCACAAAACATTATCAGCGGAATACCACCTACATTATTTGAATCATACAATTCTGTATCCGAGGTAAATATTAGCAATAACTTTTTAGATTATGTTCCTTACAATACTTTAGATAATCTAACGCAAATAGAAATTTTAGATATCGCAGATAACTTGTTACCGAAAATAGAATTTAGTGGATTAGAAAAATTGAAAAAACTAAAACATTTAATTCTAAGAAAAAATGAAATTCAATCGATTACTATGAAGAAGAACGTCATTTTCAAAGAACTGTTAGAAATGGATGTTAGTTTTAACAAACTAACGGCAGTACCATCTATGCTGTTTGAAAATTTTCCTAAAATTCAGAACATCAATATTTCGTACAATGATATTGTGCGATTTGATTTTCTATTGTCACACAAGATCAATGGAGTTTCATTAATAAGTATGGATTTAAGTAAAAATCCCGCAGTTTCATGGCCTTTAGTCAACAGTAGAGATAATAACAATACACTTTTATCCAATTTGTATGAATTACACATTTGTTATACAAACTTATCTAACTTAGATGACGTCACATTTGATTCCTTTCTTAGTTTGCAACATTTATATCTAAGGTTTAATAAAATAAGGCGCCTTTCTATAAGTCCCTTTTCAAAATTGAGTTTCCTAGAAAATTTAGATCTCAGCTATAACAAAATAACGCATGTAAAAACTAGCAACTTTCGTGGACTTGTTAAACTAAGTGCTTTATGTTTATCCAATAATTATATAGAATCGATAGAAACTTTTACTGAAGACCTTAGCAATTTAAAACTTTTGGATCTTTCTCATAATAGATTACAAAACATACTTAATCAAGATTTAGTTAATTTAAAGGAACTAACCGTACTGTACCTAGGTTTTAATAATATAAAGTATATATCAGTAACAGCGTTTAACAATTTAAATAAAATTATACATATAGACTTAGAGCACAATAAACTTCAAACAATACCAATTGATCTATTTACAATAATTGAAAGTCACATTCAAGAAATATCTATAAAAGGTACGTATATCATAATAAACATAATAAATTAAATTTAAACTACACCAAAATGACATGCTCTTTGCCGTTTTAGATAACATAATAATGTGTAGCTGCCAAAGAAATAATACATGGACATGGATACAAGATCATCCGAAAATAATAAACTCGAATGCGGTGACATGTCTTAACGACGAATATCCTAAGGAGAAATGTGATTTTCCGACCATTACACAATTGTCCATTGACAAACATAAAGACAATTCCGTTTCTGTGTCGTGGTTTATTCGAAATCGCACTGCTGTTAAATCTCTACAAATTATGTACTACGATGATGACGTCACGACAGACGTAAGTACTCGTATATTTTAAAGATTACGAATTGTAATGTCTGCGTAGGCGACACGAAGAAGCAAGTCAGATGTTATTCTTATTAATGCTCTTCCTAATGAGACCTAATTATAGATGGCTTATCAATTCCATGTGTTATGTTAAACTGGTCATATTGCTTGCAGGTGACTTACAGATATTTGGACAAATCTGAAACATCTACACTTATCTCTGATTTGGTACCGAGTAAAAATTACATTGTATGCATATTAACATTGGATTTAAATCCCTTTTCTAAACTACTCGATGAAGAAATATCAGAAGTGAATATTTCATTAAGTGATTTTAAATTTGCATCTAATATCAGTCGAAGTTACGCCGCTACGTTAATTTCACAGTCTCCTTCTAGTGAATGTGTCACATTCGATACATTTACAAAACACTCTATAAAAATGAAACCAACTAAAACATTCCATTTATCGTCAATACTCAATCGAAGAATGGGTCTGATTGTAGGCTGTGCTTTAGGATTTGTAGTGTTTTTTATTATGGTATCAGTTTTGTTGTACACGAAAATCAAAGAAAGGAAACGAATCGCTAAATCTGACCCAGCATGGTCGGAAATGAACGATTATCATTCGATACAAAGTAAAGAGGATGTTTTGCAATCAACTACTGCTTCCACGGATAATATATTACTAGGCATGGCAAAAAATCGAAAAATGTCTATAGAACAATTAAAATAGACTCGTAGACACACAGCTAGTTCTTGTTAAGTAGGTCTTAAAGTTGGAGTTGTTTTTTAAGTTTCAATTAAACTGTTAAATAGTGTTGTAGTTAGCTTAAAGCTGTAAATAAGTTAATTTAGATGGTGCAATGTATAGTGATTGTCAAAAATTATATTACAGGTATTGATAATATTTACAAAATTTAGTTTAGTTAGATGCAGTAGACGACTACAACACAATACTAAATAAATTGTTGAAACAGTTACTTTGAGAGTTTTATTTCTTAAATTCCAAATAAAGAATTTAAATTTGATTTTACGTAAACAATGGGATCATTGTGGACGATAAATCTGACTGAAAGAATTTAAATTAGATTTGTGTATTTCAATAAGCCGAAATCGTAGTATAAACTGCATAAACAAGTTGCACAGAATACTGTGAGTTAATAGACAAATCAGTTTGTGACGCATACAGAGTTTGAATATTCATTTGTATATTTTAGCGCCTGTTAAGTCCCATCCATTAGTTTTAATTAACATATTCAACGTTTGTAGAAGCAATTTCGTTTCTTTACAATACATATAAAATCTTTTTTTTACATACAACTAGTTTATAAAATTTATACAGTAGTTCCAAAAGAATGATTTCGCAATAGACATCTTAAACCAGACTTTTAAATAGTAGGTTGAAAATATACCATCGCTTATTTATCAATTATTATAGTATGGGCGTCACAGCCATGTTGTGCTTTAATAAAATATAGTCTTCATTACCTCTTATGTTTCCTTCCAATTTGCACAGAATAACCTTACCAATATGGCCGTCGTGTCGTCGAGCTAATGCAACACCCTTATTTTTGACATCCGACTACTACCCTATTATTAACATAACAAGCACAATAACGACATTTTAAAACAATAACATAAATATTTTAAATATTTTTTGGATCACCATCACAAAGCTTACATCGTTATTTTAAATTATGACAAATGGTATTGATTTATAGCATAGACTAATACCCTTCAAGAATACAGAATACATCAAAGTAGTTAAAAAGCTAACAATAGCAATTTATGGCAGTATATAAAAAAGCAACAACGTGTAAAGTAAAATTAAAAATAATTTTACACTTTTTTATATCGACTGCGACACAATCTTCCAATGTTAATCTTCACCGATAAAATTTTTTCGTGCATTTCTTATTGTTTCACGAAGATTACGAAATAATTGCACGCTCATGATACTTTTTTTGACCCAGCGCGAACTTTAACAATGGGCCTGCGGAAAGATTAATCGTCCAAAGAAGCTTTCAGATGAGAGAAACATTTTTCATTTTTTATCATGTTTTTCATATTTTATTATTTTGGGAAATGGATCTGCTTTTGTCAGGAGGGATTATTCAAAATATAAGTTCTTATGTGTATTGTTTGAAGAACCTTTCACGACTTTTTTTAACTTCACCAGTTTCTTTATGATTGCAGATGCATAAGTACGATAATCACCTCATCAATTTCGGTGTTCATTTGTTACTTTTTATAATTAAAGAAAACTACGTACAGTAACGAGTTAACTCGGAGCATCAAGACTAGGTGTTGCTTATCTTACAGCCAAATTTCCCTTCAAATTTTGTTGCAAAAGCTTTAGTTTTACGTTGGATGTAATATTGGAATACTCAAATGTACTTTTAATTATACACGTGGAAGTTCATAAATTCGACAAAAAGGGTCTTAATTAATACATTCATTTTGTCAATGAAAGCCGTGCGCCCGGTCGCATTTACATGCATTGATAGGATGATGTCGCTTCCATTTCGTTAGCTCTAATTTAAAGGCCCGCGCGGTGATTACGAAGCCTGACAGCGAATGGATAATGAGAGAATAATGTTGCAACGCATTGATCCGCCGTTACTAAATGCCATTCGCTCTGGTGATATTTCGAGATATTTTCAACCAGAAAATGTAAGAAATGTGTTATAATAAAAAATGCACGTAAATCAATATAAATTCAGCTACACACTAATTGGAATGTCAATTGAATAGTCCAACAATTTAATAAAATGTTAACCATCATCACCAAATTACTATATGTCCTCACTGAGAGGTTCCGAGCGTAAGTTAAGAAGTGACTAGGTCAAAGTCAACCACGCTGGCCCACTGCTTGTTGGTTGCCTACGCACATATCTTTGAATTTCTTCGCCGATATTTGCGGGTTGTACTACGATGTGTTTGTGTGAAAACATAAATGTTAAATATTAAAAATGATTTAAACTATAAATTATTTTACATTGTTCGCGAAATAACTTATGGTGAGTGGTATACTCTGCGCCAGAACGAAGCGGATTAATAAGAAAAATTTATGGAATAAGTGGTTAAGCCCAGCTATCATTCAAAGTGAGTACCATTAAGGCCGTTTTATATTTCAATTTAACTTTAATTTTAGCGACATAAAATTATGTTAGAACTGCGAAATGTAACTGCGATATAAAAATCTAATTTAATAGTTTGATTTGCTTTATTTTACCTTTTGTAAATAAAAGTCAAGAGTACTTAATTATCAGGGCATAAGTCTGAAGATCTACTTGAAATAAGTAGCGACTTTTTAAAAAAAATGTCCTCGTGGAAATTAATGAAATGTTCAAAAAATTAAACAAAATTCAATGTTGATTTAACGGAGATATTTGTGTAACATTTTAATTTTTGAGTAATTTTTAGTATTTCCGACTTACTGAGTATGTGAGGACAGCGAATTTCGGTTTTAATTTAATGGGTAGTTTTATCAGACATGAGACTCGTCCTGTGTTACATTTAAATAAAGGGTTACATTAAATTAAAAGTAGATTTATCAAAAATGATAAATTGTTAATAACATTGAATTCATTTCCCATTGTATAGGCTTAATTAATTGTAATCGCTTTCGCTTTATTGTTTTCTTTTTTCCTCGAAAGAACGGGATTAATTAAATTGTCCATAAAATGATTTATTGCAGGCGGTCGTAACGGCAACGGATCGACTCATATACAATATTAATCTTTTAAGTGGTTTCCTTCAATTATATTCCGAATGGATTTTCATTTTACACGACATGTACCATTTTTAATGACGCAATAAAGATATCTCAAAGTTAATAACCTAATATTTTACAATGTTTTGAAAATAAGTAGAGAAGTAAATTAGTCTGACATGACAGGAGTGTCAATCGTAGGTGACATGGAGGTAGGAAAATGGATTAAGGTAAATGTCAAAAAACCTTACAAAGATTTACTTTCATTGATATTTTGAGGGAATATTGTCATATTTAAGCCATCGGCTGATGATAATTTGTAGCAAATCGTTTTTAGGTTTTTTTTTTATTTCCATGTAAATAAAATTTAAAATGTAAAGTTTAATTTTGTCTTTTTAATTTAACGTATTCGGTGTAAAAAAATGTCGTAATGACTGGCCATGAAATGCAGTCGTCGACATTGAACTACTTTTTGCTAAAATTAATTTGAAAGACTTAAAACTTCATCATGAACGCTGCAGATTTAAAGTTTTTGCTTATTTGATTTTTTATATAATGACATTATTCCCTAAGGTTTTTTTTTTAGAAAAAACCGTACAATCATAAATTTAAAACAAAATATCGAAGCAAATAATATACTCGTTTTGATGCCTACTTATTACTGTTTATATTGTTTTTCTTTACAACGTATATTGCTGAGAAATGAATAATCGAATCAGAAATAAGTTTTCTGTTAAACAATAATTTTACATTACATTAGTGTTGGGCCGGTTTACATATACAATATTAAATTTTAGAAATACGAGCGAAAAATACTTAGCAGTTTAAGCAGTACACATTAAATATAATGTATTTTTAATGCTCTCGTGTTGCTACAAATCACTAAGCCTTGCACGATTATGAAACATTTACCCGCTCCGATATTGTGGCTGAAATTAATGAATTGGACATACACGTTGAGAAATTAAAAAAATTACATTTACTACCAATGTAATTACGAAAACAACATTCATTTTTTGTAAATTTCGTAAAGTCCAGCTACAATACAACGCAGTATGACGACTTTTCTGCTTTCATTTGTGAACCACTTGACTCCAAAAATGTTTGCTTCGCGTTAGACTCCTGCTTGACATATATGCATAACAATTAAGGTATAAAATGCAGTCAACATTCTTGGTAATGTACAATAGGGTAATGTGACGTTGTAAACTTATTTTTGTTCTCAAATTACTTACAACACATAAAAATGTACAAAAACTCTTAACCTCTAAATGACCAATTCGATTTGACTCCTCTATTGACATCCACGACAGTCCACTCACTGGAGTGAATGATCTCTCTCGATTTGACAGGTGACATTTTGGAGATACGATGTCAATCCACTCCAGTGAAGGATTACACTTCATCACACAGATTACGTTTTGTGGCATTGACGTGGGATTTTATTATTATAAAAATGTTTTATAATGTTCAATTATTTCTAAACTGTTTAACTAGAATTAAAATAAATAATAAATAACTAGAATTACTTTGACTTAATTATTTATATTAAAACTTAAAAGAACTATTTGAAGGTTTGCAAAAAATTCAATCCGTCACTTTTTTCATTTAAAAATACGGTCCACTCAAATGAGATAAATCTTAAAGCATGCCTATATTTTACGATCAAAATAAACGGTACCGCTACTCCGAGAAGCTGAAAAGAAAATCCTAAAATCGCTGTAATTTTTCGGGTACGTAAAATATGTTGCCATTTCGAAACAACAGAACGTGTGAAGTCTTCCAGCATAAATCACTTCACGGTTCAACAACGTAATAGCAATTCGAAGTATAAATTTAAACTTCCATTCTATGTGTACACAGACATGAATTTGTTTTTGGGTAGCAGTTGAGTAGATTTATGCATGCGGGTTACGATCATTCCCCCTTGACTTGAAAAAAAAAATTGCACATAAAACAATACTTTTTTTTAAATATACATCACGTGGGGTACTGTTGAAATGGGCAATATAACTTTTAAATGTCGAATGCAACCTTTTTTCTAAAATAAACTGCTCGCAACAAATGTGACTATGTTATTGAAAGAGCTATGAAAGAGTTTGTCGGGAATTTATTTTAAATAAAAACAGTGCTTTTTCAA